ATGGGAGAGCACTGTCTGTCTTCAGTGCTCCTGTCATCATTGCCCAAAAATCTTACTGTTCTCCCTCTCTCGACCGTACTGTCGTTGCCTAGACCTATTTCCATTGGTATGCTCTCCCCGAAGCTTTCTGTCTTCAAGTGTGTGTCGCAGCTGTCAGGCACCACCGTGAGCTACCTGCGTTTTGGTGGGTGACAAGCACATCCTTGGTGGGGATTATGTAGGCAGGGAGATGGGGAATATGGTTGTTACCGGATTAATCTCTTAGGATCTCTGATGCAGGTAATAACGAGGAGCTCTGCCACTGTGGCAGGCGTAATCTCATGGCAAAAGGGTACCTTTGAATTTCTGTATCGTTCTGTGAACTACTGGGCAAGACAAAGTGGGGCCCTCCATGTTGAATGTTAGGAAGTCCTGGCCCTTGAAACCAGAGGTCCCTGGCTGGCAGGGGAATCTGGAATGGGAGGAATGAGTTGAGGTGCATGAAGTATGAAAACAGTGAATGGGAAAGAGCAAAATGTTATGTGCAAGGCACAAGTTTGGCCAGAGGGTGGCAGCGCGACTAGGAGGCCGTCGGGCCTGTAGGTGGAGGTACAGGTTCCTCTCAGAAGTAACATGTCCCATCGGCTTCCCTCAAAACTGTGTGAGCTGTGTTAGGAGTTGTCACAGGGGATATATTGAAAATGAAGCCATTTTGGCCCAACGATGTTTGCAGAATTGCCTTGCCTGTGCCCAGCAGGCGCAGGCTTGCCGGAGCCTGCTCCGGATTTAGACTTTGGAGCGGACCTGCACCTGCACTGGGCAGGAATGGAATCGCCCTGGGCAGGACTTGGAGGGAGAAGAAGTGTGCATGGAGCCGTTCTGAGCCTCTTGCAGTCCGGGCAAAGGGCTGCTGAGTCCAAAGGGCCTGGACTGGGTCCGGTGCCGAGCCTTTGCTGTGATGGCACTGGGGCTGTCATGCTACCACCCCGCCCAGGTTCCCCGGATCACATTCCTGCCCCAAACACCGTGGTGACAGTGCCCAGGGTGGGGCAGGGCCAGGCCCCTTGAACAGCTCTTCTGCCTGGGGCAGATCTATAGCCTGCGGCTCTCCCGTGCTCTGATCTGTGGGGTGGGGGCAATTCCCATGTCAGCGTTACTTGGGCCTGCTCTGCTCCTGGGTGGGAGTCCAGACCCAGCTCTGGGGTACAGGGCACATCGAGGATGAGGGGGAGGCACGTCACTTCTCTTACTTACCCTCATTGGCAGCTGTGCCTGTCACCCCCCTGCTTCCTGGACCTGTGGCTTTTCTGCCATTAGTAAAAGGGGTATTTTAGTATTTTTAGTCTCTCACTCTCCAGTTCCAGTGCATTGGTGTCATCGTGTGACCCCTGTGTGTGTGTGTGATTCCAGTGCAGTGATGCCTGCCAGGAACCAAGTATTCAGTGGGAGGCTGGTGTATATGGGGAGTGCGAGGACACTGTCCCACTAGCTCATCTCTGCAACCATCCAGACTGGGTCTCCCCACAGAATTTTCCCCTAGTAACTGGTGACATGGCAGCCCTGGGCGGGGGGAACCTTTCTCTTGGAAAGTCCCTGGCACCATTTACGCCCAGTTTCCGCTTCTCCGGATGCACTTGAGCTCTCAAGAGGGCACACGGGATCCGGTGTGGGGCCCGCAACTGGGGGTGTGGGGCCCAGGGTCCTGGAGTGACCACCCAGCAGCTCCAGGAAGGCTATGGGGCAGCAGGTCCCAGCCTGCAAGGAGTTCCAGCACTCCCTGGTGACGGCTCCTGTAGCAGCTCGCGGTTCCCACCACACGCTTGCGACGTGGAACGTGACTCCAGGCTGCAGCGTGTCCAGCACTGCTGCAGGACCCTGCTCTGGGCCGTGCCGATCACTCAGCAGAGCTGGGACTGGGATACGCACACAAAACTGGTAATTCCCTGGGGATTGCTGTCACCTAACGCTGACAGCTCTACAGGACATACGCCATCCCATGTCCCCATTCGGGACAAGGGTCAAGGGCAAGCACAGCTTGGCACTGCCTCGACACCTTGTGTGCGTCCGTGGCAGAAGGAATGGGAGCACCAGTTCCCACCTGGCTGGCAAGGGCATCATGGCTCCTTGTTTAGACAACTCCAGCCATAACCATAGAGAAGGGCTGAAGCTGGTGCTGGTTTCGAGGGAGCCGACTCCCCACGGCCTGGTGTCAGGTGAAAGGAGACACCCTTGTGTTTATGCCAAGCACACCAGCCGGTGCCGCAGCCACTCAGCTTGATGAGGCAGCGATCCCCTCCTGGCCTCCCGTCCCTGACGCCGTGGGGCTTGGCGGCCTCGGGGCGCGG